CGACGAACAGAGATCGAGTTGAGAATGTTCAGTTTTTCACGCTCTTTCAAGCTATATATAATGTTTGGGAGTTCAAGTTTAAAAAGTCGTTTAGCCCAAAATGGCTTCTTATGAGCCCCTGTCCTTTGTTTCGGTTCACGCTTTGTTAGTTTATTCCCTTTGACGTAATTTTTGCGTAAGTTTCAAATTGTGTGGGAATGCATGAAATATATCTTAATCTCTTCCCCACCTCTGATTCTATTGATCGTAGTCCTCGCGAGAACTTACCAGCGTTACGTTTTTTGGAGTCATCTTGTCTGCTCATATTTCCTAAATAAAAAAAAGAGATAATGTGACATTCTTCTCCTCGTACAATATTTCAAATAATAATGCACAAAAGTCGAGTGCGAGGGCTGGGATAGAACTTTCATCTATTTTTTCATTTCGCGAAACCGCTTTAGTCAGGAATATGTCATCAGACTGGATCCTGAGCCTGACCATGGTCATGAAATTCAGTTGGCTGTCACATTTGGCGTAATCCGTTGAGGTATTATTTAAAGAAAGTAGCGAATCAAACGTCAAGTCGTCTAGATCTTTGTTCGAGTGAAAGGCAAATGAAAGTTCTTCTTACCTTACAAGGCAGATCGTACTGAACCGTCAGAGATGAATTAGAAAATGAACAAGAAAAGGGAGAGTAGCGAAAAAATGACTGCTTGTGTCTCGATAAACGTAGCTTTTTATATGGCACGACGGAGAGAGAGTGAAAGAGAGTCAGAAAAAAGCGCCTTCGCGGTTTTTATGAACGAAAAATTCCTTTGCAGTCTTTGACGCATGTTGGTCAAATAACAACAACGATATCTCTGGGTTTTTTCTCTGCATCTTTCTTTTTGCCTATTTGTTTTTATGTACTGCGTCTCTCTTGCACCACGCTGTAACTTGGTTGTGAAACATACGAGAGAGAGAGAGAGAGAGAGCTGCAGAGGAAAAAACACAAATGGTTGTTAGACGCACGAGTGGGACAGGAGTGAAAAAACCTTATTTACTGTGTATCATCTCTTCTTCCTCTATGGACATGTTGACAAAGTTATCTGCCTAGATTCTTAATCAAACGCAGTTTTTATTTTGTTACAAACTTTTGCGCCAGCAATGTTTCTTTTCGTGTATCCATGGCTATGCCAGAATAAACTGAACTGAACTGAACTGAACTGTACTCCTGTGCTGATGTTTTTTTCTTGCAACACTCGACACAGCTCTGCTCTCCTGTCCAGCAAGTCACAGTAGATGTGGCAGATAGTCTTCAGGTTCGATTTCACAACAACAATAAGCTTCAAATATGTGCTTTTGTCAACGTGAGGAATTAGTATTGTCGAAAGTAGAAGAGAACCATTATCATAAATACCGTAGAAAGGTTGAACATTGTGCAGATTTTTTTGACAGCAGAACTTGATTAGCGATCCCGTGAACCTTGAAATTCTCTCTCTCTCTGTTCTTTTCGCTCTCTGCAAGGCAGCTATCAGATACTGACTGCTTGCTTTTCTATTTGATACTCTCTCGCTGTTCTCCTTCCTCACCTTTTTACGAGTAAGCAAGCATCATTAAGAAGAGTACTTTGCAATCGGCCTTGTGTTTTCGTCTCGTGTGACTGTGAAGCACATAAAACGCTTCTCTTTCGCTGGCGGATAGACGTACATAGCTGCCATCGTTTATTTGTCTAATCAACAGGCGCATGAAGAGACGATGTTCCTAATATGAGTCTCTTTTCTTCTTATCGCTGTATAAAGTCATTTTCTCCACGGTAACCGATGGATTTTTTTCGTTCGAACAAAACCCGACAGAGGCAAGTCTTGCGCATTTTTTCGTGTAACATACTCGAATTTAGGTGGCTCCGTTCGATCACAGCGACCGGTATACGATCAGAGATCGGAGAAGCTCTTATTAGGTGCACTGTTCCTAATAAGAGCCTCAAGCAGATAAATGTGCCTAATATGAGCCTCCCAGCGAAGAACAAGCGAAAATTCGTTTCTTTCCTTCCGCGCACGTTTTTCGCTAGACGAAAGTAAACAGAAAAATCAGCCGATGGCACCATCGTGTTCTCCATACTCGATTCTACTCAGAACTGCTAGTTCTACAACATACTAGCGGTTCACATTTTTCTGTTTCGATCGGCCAGCAAGAGTTTTTAGTGCAAGTTGACTGACCTTTTTCATCCAGTCATTTTATCTTCTTTCGAACGAAAAGAATGTTACGCTCCAGAAAAAAATGTGTCTTGTTCAGAAATTGGCTATAACTTTTGGTGAAAGAGCCATGGGGAAAAATCCGTTTAAGGTATTTACTACTTCGACATACTCCACCGATCGATGTATGAATCATTGAAATCGGAGGTGGACATCTCGGGAGTTTCCCTCATAAGTGTTTGGAATAGAACAGCAAGCGAGTGAAGCACAGTGGGCATTTTTTGCTAGAGCAGGCGGACTTTAGCTTTATAAGTGAACTAAAATTTCATGAACCATTTTTTTATTGGTTTTTCATGATCCTCTTTCTAATGGCATGAGAGTTGGATTTTGCAAAAGTTTTCTAAGGAGTTACTTTATCTTGAAATTTTTTATTTTTAGAACTATGACGACAAACTTGGTAGAGACGATGTTTCTAACATGAGCCTCTTTTTTTCCTCTTGCCGTATAAATTCGCTTTCTCCACGAATAATCGATGGATTTTTTCGTTCAAACATACCCTGAAAGAGTGAAGTCTTGTGCATTTTTGGTGTAACATACTTGAATCTAGATGGTTCCGTTCGATCACAGTGACCGGTATACGATCAGAGATCGAAGAAGCTCATATTAGGAGCACTGTTCCTAATACGAGCCTCAAGCGAGAAAATGTGCCTAATATGAGCCTCCCAGCGGAGAACAAGCGAAAATTCGTTTCTTTCCTTCCGCGCACGTTTTCCGCTAGACGAAAGTAAACAGAAAAATCAGCCGATGGCACCATCGTGTTCTCCACACTCGATTCTACTCAGAACTGCTAGTTCTACAACATACTAGCGGTTCACATTTTTCTGTTTCGATCGGCCAGCAAGAGTTTTTAGTGCAAGTTGACTGACCTTTTTCATCCAGTCATTTTATCTTCT